CCTTAGACTGTCCCTGCTGCATTTCCCCGCCCTGTGACCATGGCGACTATTACTGTTCTCGCCTTTGAGCCTGACGGCAGTCCTGTTCAGTTTGACACCTGGCTCAGTGACCTGCAGCTCTACCTTTTGACTAATACCAAGGACGGAGCCTCTCTGCTAGACTATGTCAATGGCACTGCCCCTGCTCCCGCTGCTACTGCTCCTGCCTCTGATCGCGCTGAATGGCAGACCCGCGATGGCATGTGGATTTTCAGGGTGAAGCGGCCGCCGGGTTCTCCGCCTGTCTTCAAGGCTCGTTACGTTGCACGAGGCTTCAATCAGCGGCAGGGAGTTGACTTCTTCTATACATTCTCCCCTACCCCGAAGATGACCACTCTTCGGGTACTGCTGCACGTTGCCGCTCAGCGTGACTACGAGCTTCACTCTCTTGACTTCAGCACAGCGTTCTTGCAGGGCAGCTTGCACGAGGAGATCTGGCTGCGCCGCCCACCTGGCTTCACTGGGTCGTTCCCTCCTGGTACCCAGTGGAGCCTCCGCCGGCCAGTCTACGGTCTCCGCCAGGCACCCCGTGAGTGGCACGACACACTGAGGACTACGCTTGCGGCTCTTGGGTTTGCGCCTTCGACTGCTGACCCGTCGCTGTTTCTGCGCACCGACACTTCGCTGCCGCCGTTCTATATCCTCGTGTACGTCGACGACTTGGTCTTTGCCACTGCTGACACGGAGGCCCTCGCCCTGGTGAAGTCGGAGCTGCAGAAGAGACACATGTGCACAGACCTGGGTGAGCTGCGCAGCTACCTTGGCTTGCAGATCACCCGGGACCGAGCACGCCGCACCATCACACTGACTCAGTCACACGTGGTGCAGCAGGTCCTTCAGCGCTTCGACTTCACCTGGTCCTCGCCACAGTCCACTCCTCTGGCTACAGGTCACTCGCTCTCAGCTCCACCTTCGGACGAGTCCGTAGAGCCGAGTGGTCCTTACCCAGAGCTAGTGGGCTGCCTCATGTACCTGATGACTTGCACTCGTCCTGACCTTGCGTACCCTCTTGGCCTTCTGGCTCGCTACGTGGCTCCTGGTCGACACCGAAAGGTGCACTGGGATGCTGCGAAGAGGGTACTGCGCTACTTGTGCAATACATCGGGCATGGGGCTCGTGCTTGGAGGACGGCGAGAGGTGGTCCTCACTGGGCACTCAGACGCTTCTTGGGTTGACGACCAGGCTACACAGCGGTCGTCACAGGGTTACACTTTCAGCCTTGGTTCTGGTTCTGTTTCTTGGCGTTCTACTTGCTCGTCTTCTGTTCTCAGCTCCAGTTGTGAGGCTGAGATCTACGCCACAGCCATGGCTGCTCAGGAGCTGCGCTGGCTCACCTACCTGCTAACCGACTTGGGAGAGAGGCCTCGTTCTCCTCCAGTTCTGTACGTCGACAACAAGGCTGCCATTGCCTTGTGTGAGGAGCACAGACTGGAGCACAGAACGAAGCACATTGCTCTGCGTTACTTTCTCGCTCGAGAGTTGCAGCAGCGTGGTCAGCTTCGTCTTGCACACGTGGCCACTCGGGCCAACACTGCTGATATATTCACCAAGGCACTTCCGTCTGGTGATCATCAGCGTTTTTGTACTTTGTTAGGCCTTGTGCCTACGTTTCCACACTTGCTGTAGACTTTGCTTGTACTGTGATCTATATATATATATATACCTGCATGCTTGTTCTTGCTAGGTAGTGATCACTGTACTGTATTTGCTGCATATATAGTTTTGCATTTGGACTGGCCTTGTGGCCATTTGCTTGTGCTTAGAATGTGTGGTGACTTCGTGATCCACCCTGGGTTTGTTTTGCTTCTCTTGACTGGTCGTGTGACCCCTTGTTCTCCCCCACTTTGCCTATGGGGGTGTGTCAAATTATATATATGTGTTAGTGTTGTCTAGGCTGTAGTGGGGTAGCCCTTATGGGGTACAACCCAAAAGTTAGGGTTATACTTGTACCCTTCTTTCATTCAATCGAACCATTCCTTTGCCTAGATTCTGAGACATGCGGATGGGCATCAGCGGGGGGTACGCTGTAAAGGACATGGGCGAGGCCAGGGAACACATGAGGTGCGTTTGGAGTTGACCAGGGAGTGTCGGTTGTAGGGCCAAGGTGGTTTCATTAACATCTGCATCATTCTCTTCAAATCTATCACCTTTATCCATATCTTTTCAATCAACGCTTCTGCAATGCTGGTGCCTCCTCATGCTATAATGTATGCCCTAAATGCTATCCCTAGTATCACCCCTCTGGCCGTATCACCCCTCTGTACCGCTTATCACCCTTGTGCATGTCATCCCTCATGTGCATATTTACACTGGATCTCAAGTTTCCTCCCACACTCATCAACTTCATCATCCAGCAGTCCGATGGAATCGTGTACCAGTGGTTTACAGAGGTTTGTAGATTGGTGCACAGGGATATATAGAGTGCTTTGCAGAGGTGTGTCGAGTGGTTCAGAGAGGTGTGTATAGTGGGTTCATAGGTGTGCAGAGTGGTTTCTAGAGGTGTATGGAGTGCTTCACACTGATGTGTAGAGCGGTTTGAAGAGGTGAGTTAGAGGGTTGCACAGAGGTGTAGAGTGTCTCTTGAAGCTGTGTAGAGGGGATCACAGAGGAGTGTGACTTGGTCCACAGAGGGTTCCCTTAGTTTGTGTCAGTCTGTGTGTTGAATTACGGTGGTTTGCTGAGGTGAAATATGTTCAAACTAAGGTAGCGTTTGGAAATGCAACATACTCCTTTCTCCCCTCCCTCCCCTGTGTCCCTATCCCTCTCTCCCCCTCTCCCCCCTCTCTCCCCCTCTCCCCTCTCCCCTTCTCCCGTTCCCACCCTCCCTCGTCAGGAGCTGGCTTGGATATACGACAACCCCTCGAGCACCAAAGGGAAGGCGTTTCGCCAAGCATTTCGCGACAAGCCCCTATACAACGTCCGGGTAGTCATGGAGAAATATCGAGCTTCCCAGACAGCTGAGCAGCAGGAAGTGGTGGTCGAGTAGCAGAGAAAGCACCAGAAACTGATGGGTAAGCAAAACGGGCAAGCAGCTTGGGAAAGAATCTAATTAGCAAAGAAGACGAGGAGAAGTCGTTTAGAGTGCTAGGGGCAGAGGTGGAGGCGAAAATAGTGTCCTTTGTGGAATCGGTGTCTAGAAGAGCGAGCAGCAATGGCAGCAGCATTGATGGTGATGGGGTGGAGATTGTTGAGGGTGGAGAGTGGGGGGATGTGGAGGCTCGAACAGAGGGAAAGGGCGTGGGTGTTGGTGATCTGAAAGTGAGAGGGGATTTAGAAGGGTTGCAATGGAAGGTGGAAGAAATGAGGGTGGCCTTGCGACTGAATGGGGAGCAGGAGATGTAGCAGGAGGAGCAGGAGTAGGAGCAGCAGGGGAAGTGGGGGTGGAGGTAGGGGTTGGAAAGTCCAATGGAGACCCAAGTTGGAGCCATTATCTTTACGTGGTAGCGACTTAGTAGTTTGTTTGCTTGAAGAACTTTGTGGAAAATTTGGCACGTCGCTGCCACGTAAAGATAATGGCTCCAACCTGGGGCTCCATCGGACTTACCAAGCATACCTCTACGATGGCCGACTTTCAATTTACTGCAACCAAAGCAACCAACACCGAGGCTGACCGCGCTCCTGAAAATCTTAGAACTTCGAGAGTTTCGCGACGAACGGCGAACTCCGATGTCTCGAAAGATAAAGGACCGACCATTTTGAAGGATTTCACATTCGAACCTCCTTCAGCCTCTCGAACCAGCAAAAATAGAGCTCTCAATACTTCAGAGGCTACTCTTGCCAGGACATCCAGTGTTCTAGGACTCACTCCTCGCGCCATGGCTACCAACAACGCTACGGCTCAGGTTCCTGGACAGGAAGCGGTCTTGACCTGTCAAGACATTCGTGACACTATTATGTCTGACTCTTTTGATTTTTTCGAAGAGCTTAACAATGTTTTTTGGAGAAGCAGGCTACGCCAGCTTACTTTAACACCCTTAAGCTTCAAGCTAACGGAGACTTCAAAAAGCATTTATCTAAATACCGTACGCTTCTTCAACAACTCAATTTCATGGAAGAGCAGAAGAATAACGGGATCACCCCGCACTCAATTCGCATCAAGCCGTTTAATTTCATTTGCAACTCCGAAGATCTACGTCAGGAAGCTGATCGTAATTTGGAAGCTGCACGGCTGGTGTATTGCCTTAAAGCAGCAGTATACATTTGGCAGCACTGTTGTTTCTGTACAGTGTGCCAGGCGATTTCGCCTCAACGAAAATGTAAACAGAATAGCGAGAGTGTTGGCGAAAAACTGGAGCGCTTCAGTTGTAAGAGGAGCAGGGTTGGGTAGGTTGTGGGTCACAAAATGGGAAACACCTCCCGTCACCGAACTTGCCACATCACACACTACGGGGAATACGCATCTAGTAGCTACTAGTTTAGGTACTAGGCAGCAGGCCGGAGGGTGCTAGGCCAGCAGCGCGACCACATACATAGACGCGGGTGAGTATTTAGCCGTGTGCAGAACAGGCGACGCCTGCGAGCGTCACTAGCGCCAGCGATGGTGGCACTCCGTGTGTGTCGTGTCATTCCGCGCGCGTCACTGGCGCCAGCAATGATAACATTCCATTAGCGGGACTTGCGCCAGTTACGCTATCATTCCGCGCGCAACACTTGCGCGCGCTGTGCTGGCATCCGCGCGCGGCACTTGTGCGCGCTATGCTGGCATTCCGCGCGCGCTAGCATAGCGCGCTCAGCAGAGCTGCGCTTGCCAGCAAAACGCGCGCCGCAAAGCGGCACCTGCATACCGCGCGGCGCGCCAGCACAGCGAGCGCATGTGACGCTTAGATGCCCCAGCAAACAGCACGCGGTTGCAAGCACGCGCTCTCCAGCGAAATTCAGTCTAGGAGCGCGCGCGAGCCAGCCATCCTACTGCAGCCACCAGTAACGCGCTGCTCGCCTCACGGATTTCTCCAATACACGAAATGCGTAAGGCCGCGTCCACACGTTTGGACTCATTTCCGCCCCTGCTTCCCCTCCTTTCCCCCCACGCATCCCCTCATTTCCGCCCCTGCTTCCCCTCATTTCCGCCCCTGCTTCCCCTCATTTCCGCCCCTGCTTCCCCTCCTTTCCCCCCACGCATCCCCTCATTTCCGCCCCTGCTTCCCCTCATTTCCGCCCCTGCTTCCCCTCCTTTCCCCCCACGCATCCCCTCATTTCCGCCCCTGCTTCCCCTCATTTCCGCCCCTGCTTCCCCTCCTTTCCCCCCACGCATCCCCTCATTTCCGTCCCTGCATCCCCTCATTTCCGTCCCTGCATCCCCTCATTTCCGTCCCTGCATCCCCTCATTTCCGCCCCTGCTTCCCCTCCTTTCCCCCCACGCATCCCCTCATTTCCGCCCCTGCTTCCCCTCCTTTCCCCCCACGCATCCCCTCATTTCCGCCCCTGCTTCCCCTCATTTCCGTCCCTGCCTCCCCTCCTTTCCCCCCTTGCTTCCCCTCCTTTCCCCCACTTCTTCCCCTCCTTTCCCCCACTGCTTCCCCTCCTTTCCCCCACTGCTTCCCCTCCTTTCCCCCACTGCTTCCCCTCCTTTCCCCCACTGCTTCCCCTCCTTTCCCCCACTGCTTCCCCTCCTTTCCCCCACTGCTTCCCCTCCTTTCCCCCACTGCTTCCCCTCCTTTCCCCCACTGCTTCCCCTCCTTTCCCCCACTGCTTCCCCTCCTTTCCCCCACTGCTTCCCCTCCTTTCCCCCACTGCTTCCCCTCCTTTCCCCCACTGCTTCCCCTCCTTTCCCCCACTGCTTCCCCTCCTTTCCCCCACTGCTTCCCCTCCTTTCCCCCACTGCTTCCCCTCCTTTCCCCTACTGCTTCCCCTCCTTTCCCCCACTGCTTCCCCTCCTTTCCCCCACTGCTTCCCCTCCTTTCCTCCACTTCTCTGCCTCGCCTTTCACCCCCGTGCTTCCCCTCCTTTCCCCCACTGCTTCCCCTCCTTTCCTCCACTTCTCTGCCTCGCCTTTCACCCCCGTGCTTCCCCTCCTTTCCCCCACTGCTTCCCCTCCTTTCCTCCACTTCTCTGCCTCGCCTTTCACCCCCGTGCTTCCCCTCCTTTCCCCCACTGCTTCCCCTCCTTTCCTCCACTTCTCTGCCTCGCCTTTCCCCCCCGTGCTTCCCCTCCTTTCCCCCACTGCTTCCCCTCCTTTCCTCCACTTCTCTGCCTCGCCTTTCCCCCCCGTGCTTCCCCTCCTTTCCCCCACTGCTTCCCCTCCTTTCCTCCACTTCTCTGCCTCGCCTTTCACCCCCGTGCTTCCCCTCCTTTCCCCCACTGATTCCCCTCCTTTCCTCCACTTCTCTGCCTCGCCTTTCCCCCCCGTGCTTCCCCTCCTTTCCCCCACTGCTTCCCCTCCTTTCCTCCACTTCTCTGCCTCGCCTTTCACCCCCGTGCTTCCCCTCCTTTCCCCCACTGCTTCCCCTCCTTTCCTCCACTTCTCTGCCTCGCCTTTCCCCCCCGTGCTTCCCCTCCTTTCCCCCACTGCTTACCCTCCTTTCCTCCACTTCTCTGCCTCGCCTTTCCCCCCCGTGCTTCCCCTCCTTTCCCCCACTGCTTCCCCTCCTTTCCTCCACTTCTCTGCCTCGCCTTTCCCCCCCGTGCTTCCCCTCCTTTCCCCCACTGCTTCCCCTCCTTTCCTCCACTTCTCTGCCTCGCCTTTCACCCCCGTGCTTCCCCTCCTTTCCCCCACTGCTTCCCCTCCTTTCCTCCACTTCTCTGCCTCGCCTTTCCCCCCCGTGCTTCCCCTGCTTTCCCCCGCTGATTCCCCTCCTTTCCTCCACTTCTCTGCCTCGCCTTTCCCCCCCGTGCTTCCCCTCCTTTCCCCCACTGCTTCCCCTCCTTTCCTCCACTTCTCTGCCTCGCCTTTCCCCCCCGTGCTTCCCCTCCTTTCCCCCACTGCTTCCCCTCCTTTCCTCCACTTCTCTGCCTCGCCTTTTCCCCCCGTGCTTCCCCTCCTTTCCCCCACTGCTTCCCCTCCTTTCCTCCACTTCTCTGCCTCGCCTTTCCCCCCCGTGCTTCCCCTCCTTTCCCCCACTGCTTCCCCTCCTTTCCTCCACTTCTCTGCCTCGCCTTTCACCCCCGTGCTTCCCCTCCTTTCCCCCACTGCTTCCCCTCCTTTCCTCCACTTCTCTGCCTCGCCTTTCCCCCCCGTGCTTCCCCTGCTTTCCCCCGCTGATTCCCCTCCTTTCCTCCACTTCTCTGCCTCGCCTTTCCCCCCCGTGCTTCCCCTCCTTTCCCCCACTGCTTCCCCTCCTTTCCTCCACTTCTCTGCCTCGCCTTTCCCCCCGTGCTTCCCCTCCTTTCCCCCACTGCTTCCCCTCCTTTCCTCCACTTCTCTGCCTCGCCTTCCCCCCCCGTGCTTCCCCTCCTTTCCCCCACTGCTTCCCCTCCTTTCCTCCACTTCTCTGCCTCGCCTTCCCCCCCCGTACTTCCCCTGCTTTCCCCCGCTGATTCCCCTCCTTTCTTCTCCTCATCCCTCCTCACCCCATCCTTTCTTCTCCTCATCCCTCACCCCATCCTTTCCTCTCCGCATCCCTTGTCACGCCATCCTTTCTTCTCCTCATCCCTCACCCCATCCTTTCTTCTCCTCATCCCTCACCCCATCCTTTCTTCTCCTCATCCCTCCTCACCCCGTCCTTTCTTCTCCGCATCCCTTCTCACCCCATCCTTTCTTCTCCTCATCCCTCACCCAACTGGTTATTGAACGTAGTGCTTTGTTTACATACTGTGTTATGGTAGGGAACTGGCTACAAAAAGTGTTGAAGTCAGCAACCTGTAATGATGTCACAAAGCACTACGTTCAATAACCAGTTGGTAAAAACACAAACATGAGTTTGATGGCACGATGTGTTGGGTCAGTAAGAAATACCTAAAAGGGGAAAAGAGGGTGTGTTTATGTGCTAATGTTCAAGGCGGAAGATTGAATACTTGGATCGTATAAGGACAGGCCGATTGACCGAGAGGCTTGAAGCTGCTTTGCTCGTAGCCGTTGCCATGCTCCCCTGCCATTCCCATTGCAATCGCAGCCTATCCAAGCCCAGGTTGCAGGCTGTTATGTGCCCTGTGAGGCGTAGGATGTGCAGTCAGGAAAGCACCCCACCTGCAACACAAGCACAGAAATCGAGCAAGGGAATACAATGTGAGGGCTGTAGGAGGTCAGATTCAACTAAGAAAGAAACACATAAGTGTGGGGGACCTGGAGGGGCAGGGTGTGAGCAGAGCGCCCTTGGTAGAGGAGGGGGTAAGAAGAGGTAGGAGAGGGGAGGTGAGAAGAATGCCCCTGGTAGGGGGATGGGAGGTGAGCAAAGAGTGCCTGATAGGGCCAGGAGAGGTGGTAGGGGAGGGGAGATGAGAAGGGAGTAGGTGGCAGGGGAAGGGGAGGTCAGATGGGAGTATGTTGTATGTGGTAGGGGGAGGGGAGCAACGATGTGAGTAGGTGGTATGGGGAGGCGTGGTGGGCTGAAATCCCGTGGTAAGGGGGGGAAAGGGGAGGTGAGATTGGAGTAGGTGGTAGGGGGAGGGAAGATGGGAGTAGGTGGGGGTAGGTGGGAGATGCATGTTGAAATTTCCCATGGCAATGCCGCTGTTGCTTGGGAGGTGACGACAAGAGAATCGAAAGGGGCTTGGTTACAGGTTTAGCGGAAGGGAAGGATGGCAGTGAGGATTGCAAGAGGAGAGAATGGCTGGAGGAGTGCGTAAGGAAGGAAGGATGGGGGACAGGAAGGCAGGGAGAGAAGGGAGGGAAGGGAGGGCAGGGAGAGAAGGGAGGGAAGGGAGGGCAGGGAGAGAAGGGAGGGAAGGGAGGGCAGGGAGAGAAGGGAGGGAAGGGAGGGCTGAAGGGCGAGGAAGGGAGACATGGGAGAGAAGGGAGGGAAGGGAGTGAAGGGCGAGGAAGGGAGACACGGGAGAGAAGGGAGAGAAAAGGAGGGAACGGAGAGACTTCTATCGAAGGGAGAGAAGGGAGGGAAGGTAGTCAAGGGAGGCAAGGGATGAAAGGGAGTGAAAGGAGAAGCAGGAGAGATGTCGGGAGGGAGAGACGAGGAAGGGTAGGGATGAAATGGAAGGTAACGGAGATACGGTGGGGGGGAGGAGAAGGGCGGGAAGGGAGCGAAGGTATTGAAGGGAGAGAAGGGCGGGAAGGGAGCGAAGGTATTGAAGGGAGAGAAGGGCGGGAAGGGAGCGAAGGTATTGAAGGGAGAGAAGGGCAGGAAGGGAGGGACGGGAGGGACGGGAGGGACGGGAGGGACGGGAGGGACGGGAGAGAAGGGAGAGAAAGGAGAGACAGGAGATTGCATGGAGGGATGAGAGGGAAGGGAGAAAAGGGAGAGAAGGTAAGGGGGAGAGAAGGGCGGGAAGGGAGAGAAGGGAGGGAAGGAGGGAAGCGAGGGATGGAAGAAAATGGAGGGAAAGGAGAGATGGGAGAGGAGGGAGAGAAGGGAGGGAAGGGAGAGACGGAAGATTGGAAGTCGGGATGAGGGAAGGGAGAAAATGGAGAGAAGGGAGGGAAGGGAGGGAAGGGAGGGAAGGGAGGGACGGGAGAGAAGAGAGAGAAAGGAGAGAAGGGAGAGACAGGAGATTGCAAGGACGGATGATAGGGAAGGGAGAAAAGGGAGAGAAGGTAAGGGGGGAGAGAAGGGCGGGAAGGGAGAGAAGGGAGGGAAGGGCGGGAAGGAGGGAAGCGAGGGAAGGGAGACAGGGAGGGAAGGGAGAGACTGGAGAGAAGGGAGGGATTGGAGGGAAAGGAGGGAAGGGAGGGAAGGGAGAGAAGGGAGGGAAGGGAGAGAAGGGAGGGAAGGGAGAGAAGGGAGGGAAGGGAGAGAAGGGATGGGAGGGAGAGAAGGGAGGGAAGGGAGAGAAGGGATGGAAGGGAGAGAAGGGAGGGAAGGGAGAGAAGGGATGGAAGGGAGAGAAGGGAGGGAAGGGAGAGAAGGGATGGAAGGGAGAGAAGGACGGGAAGGGGGGTCGGGCGACGGACAGGGGAAAAGGGAGGCGGCGGGAAAAGGGGATCGGGCGGCGGGAATGCGCATCGGGCGGCGGGAAAGGGGAAGCGGGCGGCGGGAAGGCGCATCGGGCGGCGGGAAAGGGGAAGCGGGCGGCGGGAAACGGGAATCGGACGGCGGGAAGGGGCGGACGGGCGGCCCGCCTGGAATCAATGGGCGGGAAAGGGGATTCAGGCGGCGCGGAGTGAGATTCGGGCGGCGGGAAAGGGGAACCGGGCGGCGGGAACATGAATCGGGCGGCGGGAACATGAATCGGGCGACGGGAAGGGGAGTAGGGCGACGGGAAAGGGAAATCGGGCGGCGGGAAAGAAGAATCGCCAGGCATGACGGGGAATCGGGCAGCGAGAACAAGGAGTCGAGCGGCGTTCCGAATCGGGCAGCGTGACTGGGGTTTCATGGCGGCGGGAAAGGGAAATCGGGCGCCGGGAAGGGGGATTAGGCGACGGGAAGAGGAACTTTTGCGTCGGCGAAGGGAAATCGGGCCGCAGGAAAGGGAATGGCTAAGGCGTTCTCACTTTGATGCGGAATGCTCCGTGTATCAGGCGCCGAAAAATAAACAATGGCTCTGTCGGCGTATGACCTATGCGTGAGAAGAGCTATAATCGCAATGGCTTGCACCGCTTTTGGAAGTTACCTTTTTTGGGCTAGAGTAAGGACGCCGTGGGTGTGGGCATAGTGGCGAGGAGGTATGTCCTTCAGTATACTTTTGGCTAGGTATAAACTTTTGACGAGTGAGTCAGGTGACTGGGGTTGGGTTTGGACTTGTCGCTGTGTCTGAAGTCGAGGGACCCTGTAATTTGGTTACCACCATGTACCTTTTATAAACTTTTGGACTTTCCCCTGGCAAATGTATACCGCCGCTTTAATGCTCAACGGATCTTAATATCCATGAAGAAGAAAGCAGTCGACAAGGCTTTAAGCGAGGCGTGCGCTGTTTCTCTGTCACTCATTCATCATACTGACAATTTCGTCAATCTTAACAAGAAGTCTGACCTCGGCCTCGTCGACAATCTTATTTTTTTTCAAAGCGCGAGTGCTTTTGGAGTTTAAGAATGTTGTCTTCGTCATCTATATGTAAACTAACATGGCGGAGGTGCTGTTGAAGCAGAAAAAGACGACCTTGATGCAAAGAAAGCAGCTGCTGTTTCTGAAACCGAAAATCTCCCGGTGGATCCCACTGTTCGAGAAATCGTCAGATAGGAAGCTGAAAAAAATTTTGAAGTCTTCTATTGCTAAAGCAACTGCTAAGCCACCTGCGAAGGGGAAAGCCAACAGCAATGGCAAAAAGGATAAGGATAAAGCTTCCGTTCAATCCAAATCCAAAACTAACAAATCCGATGTCAGTGTCAGGAAAACTGTTGCTAAAGGGAATAAGTCTGCTTCTACTTCTATGTACAGTTCCAACAGCAAAACCTCCGGGAAGCAGATGGCTGCGACAAATTCTAAAAAGAAGAATGATGCTGAGCTCACCACTACTAAGACCGTCGTTCGCTCCTACGCGGAAACCTCTGGTCGCAATGCTGCTGGCTTTTCTTACAACAAACGCAAGGCATTTGCACCAGGCCGTAGAAAAACAACAGCACAGTAGCCACTAACGTTCATGCTTTTGCACTGATCCTTTTCGGTCGACAAACTGAATATCAGCTGCAGTGCCGTGCTACCAACCGTGGGATTCATGATTACGACGGTCATTCCTTCACCTCCAATGAACTCAATCTGTGAAACCTTGGGCTCAAGTACATCCCTGTTCCAGTCATTCGTAGTGTTGCTAGTTTCGAAGCTGAGATTCTCTCTTTCTTTCAGAGTGTTAGGACTTTGTTCTTCTTTAATGGATCTGATTCTTCTGGTTACTCAAGGTATAAGTTACCTAAACGAGGAAACTGGACACCACCTCCAGCCGCTCCAGAAATAGAGACGGCCTTGGAGGTCTTTAAAGAAGCTGCCATTAACAAAGTTACTGAACATAGTTTCTCTTCACTCACCCGGAAGTCGAGGAATGTTCTTCCGACACTTCGACGGCTGGCCAATAATCCTAACCTCATCTTTAAGCATGCGGATAAAAACCTTGGACTAACAGTCATGAGCAAGGAGTTTTATCAGGAGAAACGCCTCGAGCACTTACTCGATGACAAAGTCTACAAGGAATATTACGCAGTTCCTATTTCGGATATTATCAACGAGTTTCACTCTATCAGATCCGAATGAAATCCGCTTATTTCGGCTAAGGTTTGGGACTCTTTTTTACATCAACCCAAGTCCGGCTGGAAAGTCCCGGCCTTCTATGTTCTTCTTAAGAACCACAAGAAGGTCCCAGCGGGACGACCTATTGCCACTTGTCACTCTTGGGTTGTCGGAATAACAGACTGGAATGGCTGTACTAACAGAAGGATGGATACAAATAGGAAACCCTAATCCAGTGTACCCCCTAAGGTATCACCCACTACTGCCTACAATCATATAAACATATAATGTTTGACACACCCCCATAGGCAAAGTGGGGGAGACCTAGGGGTCACAAGACCAGTCAAGGCAAAGCAAGGCAACAACAAGCTCAGGGTGGATCTCGAGGATTCCACACAAATTCCGAGCACAAGCTAGTGGTCACAAGACCAGTTCACATGCAGGTTTATAACAGAGCAAGAGATACAGTGATCACAACCTAGCAAGAGTAAACATGCAGGTATAGATATATATAGTGATCACAGTACAAGCAAAGTCAAGAGGTAAGCAAGTGAGGTCCAGTAGGCACAAGGCCTAGTAGAGTGCAGAAGCGCTGATGGTCACGAGGCTGAAGCGCCTTGGTGAAC